CGGATAGAATAACATCGCTTCATCAGAGGGTCCACTGATGATGTCAGTTAGCATGGTGATGAAACGTCTGAACGAGAACAAGCCAGCTCAGAAAGCAAGTCAACAACCTCATGTATACCACTGTACCACCATCCCGGCTGGGTCTGAACTGTTGGTGGGACAGGACCTACTCAGGGATACTGGTGTAGGAGTCTGCGCCGTTGGCTGTAAGGTATGAATCAGTGAAAATGATTATGTCAAGTTTTTGCTTGATAAGCCTGAGGATTCTAATTACTCACGTAAGTCCCTGGTGTTAGTGAAAGCTTGTCAGAAGCAACTGAAAGGGTGTGTGTTTGTCATTTCCAGAGCTTGGATTAATATTAAATACTCTTAAAGTTTGGTATTTGGAGTTACATTTGGTTTTCATAACAGGGTTTCTCATTTATTGAATTCTGCTTAGTTTCATGCCCTGGTGTCACTGCTGCCGGAATTGAAAGGAGAACAATTCAAACTATTTCATTTTGCTGAGAAACCTAATAAACTACAGAGAACTGCAGAGTGCAGTAGAAGGTAGACTGTGATTTGAAGCTTTAGCCTATATTGTTTAATTTGGCAAACAAAGAGCAGTTAATTGATAATATTTCTGTTTGGATGTCTTTTGTTAGAGATTAAATAATGCCCTCTGATTTGGCAAAAAATACAGAAAAAAGGCATTAATTAAAAAGACATCATCAGCTTCATCCTTGAATAAATACAACTTCTGTTATTTCTGTCACAAAGTGTGAGTGATGCAGTGATTTCTTTACTGCACATTATGGTACTTTGACACATCACAGTGTTTAGCAATAACAGGGGAAGACATCTTTGCCAGACAATGTGATAAAATGATGCCTTTTCAAAATGCTTTGTCTTTTTTTGGTTTTCTAATAATGTTTTCTCTGGGTAAAATCCCAAGTTAGTCACATGGTATTTTGTAATCAGTTATTTTTAAACTGTGTTATAATAAGCTGAATAGCTTAAGCCTTCTAATCCTAGCACCATGCATGTTCACCTTTTGTATTATAGATGTACTGTGCCAAATGTTTGCAATACCTGCTTATTTTTGAGATCCATTGACAACTCATAATCAGAGGTGGGTAAATGCGAGCATGTTGCTGTGCCTTTGCTCCGTTGCATTCGCATTGGTGAGGCGGTGTGGTGCAGACTTGCTTTCTGTACCATTGTGTTGGACACAGGAATCATTCGGCATGGCCTTCCCTCCTTGACATCAGCTGATGAGCATTTCACTTGATCCATGCCAGATTGATCTGCACTGTTGATTTCACATTCTCCTCGGATTTTCATAGGGCCATCTGCTTCAGAGTTAATGGATTTGCCTCCAGGAGAGATTGTTTCATTACTGCAAAGCAAGGTGAGATGCATGCTGTTAGTAACAGGCAACATTTAGTGGCAGGCTGCATCTCCTTTTCCATCTCCCTCAGCGATTCAGATGGAGGTGCTGCACATCAATTTATAACTACAACATATAGTTGGAAAGCAGCAGCAGCAGTGGCAGTAAATGATGTTACAAATAACGAGGGGTTAGATCCAAACTCAAACAGTAAGTTTGCGAGTGATACCCTGGGGTAATTTTAACTCACCAGACAGGAAACTGACTTGATTAGATTGATTATGCTGTCTTATACTGTCCAAACTTTTTTCTACAATGTTAATAAAATGTAAAATTGGACCAGGCTAAAATAGTAAGCCAATCTCATCTCACAATTCCTATTAGATAAGCTAAGTTAAAATAACCCATAATATCTCAGAGTTAGTGTCAATTACTGTTTCAAATTCTGCACAGCTAAAGAGGTTAGGTGAGCCACTGTGTTTCGATTTACACTGTCTCACTATCTCTCTTTTTCACTGAAACCTGGCTTCTTTGTCTTTCATTGTAAATAAATAACAAAAATTCACAACATTGTTTCTCTTGGTTTTTACAAAGATCAGATCTGAGATGTTTAGCATCTGTGAATTTGTGTATCAGGCACCAGCTACCTGTGTATGTGACGTTGGGTCTATGCCAGCTCAGAAGGTGACCGGGATGTACATGTGGTACTCAAAGTTATGCAGGCTCACTCTCCAAAAAGAGGCAAATTCGGCCCAGGCCCCAAAACAATAGAAAATACTTTGAGATTGAAATGTAAAAACAGGGTAGTGAGGCAAACCAGTCTATGCGGACATTTATCCTTCATGTGACCAAGTAATTCTAAACGCCCTTCTCTTCCTGTTGCCGTATCCTTTCAATTATTTTTCTAATTTAAATGATGGTTTTTTTTTAATGACAGAAATATTTTTTGTCATTCCAGACAGCATCCTATGTTATATCCTTTCCAAAGTCTAAATATCCTCCATATAACGGGGAGCCCAACAGTCCACACAATCCTTAGCAGAGATCAGAATAAGGTTTTATGTACGCACTCAGAAAGTCTGAGTAGTGGCACCTTGAAGAGCCCTTCCATTATAGCGGGAGTTAGTTTCCTGAAGTAGCTGCGTTGTCTTAAATCTTTTTGAGGTAGCTACTACATTTCATTTGAACTTTTGTTGTTGCCTTTTTTGTTATTTAGTGGTTTTACAAGTAACAAACTTCAGGGAGTTACTTGTTGAACTGCATCTGATAATAAGAAACTATTTCCCTAGAAATTCAAACAAGAACTGTGTGTACTCCTTCTGGACATCCCTCTCTAATTGTATGTTTTGGAAGGAAACTGTGGAAAAAAAAATCCCAGATAAATTTCTTTGTGCCTTTGTCAATCCAGCCAAAGCATTGCTTATGTTGTTACCCATGTTTACAGGGTCAGGTAACCATTGAGAGATCCAAAGGAACTTAAAGGAAGGGTTCCCCATGATAGCAGTAACAGGATTTGACTGGCTCCCGCAACCAGAGGTTGAAGTCAAGTCCAGGACCTAAACACCTTTATCAGCGATGGCCATGGCTTTTGCTGTCTTGACTGCTGATACCACTGTAAAAGGATAAAGTAGTCATATCCCAAAGGACATAGGGTCATAGCACCATAGCACTGCTCTGTTATTAGAGAGAGAGACAACTGGTTGTAGTTTAACCTGAGGATCACCACACCACAGGCAACGGGCAAGGACATTAAGGTGGAACCTTCATGGTGACCTCAGCTGGTACGGGAATTGAAGCTACACTGTTGGTGTTACTCTGTACCACAAACTAGCTGTCCACCAAATTGAACTAACCTCTCAGCAGAAAGCCTCCTCTTGCAGACATTTAGTGTGCTTTGCCCTTCAGGAATATACAAGTAAGAGGTTAAGTACCAACTGCAACCCTGGTCTGTGTGTGTTAGTGGGAGAAAGTATGTTAGCAGGAGAAGGTATGGTAGTGAACTGCAGTATGTGTGTATTTGCCTCAGTTTGTGTGTTGTGAAAGTCACAAAGAATCATCCACAAGTCAGCCATGCATTGGAGGTAAAAGGTGTCTTTTATTCTGAGTGCTGAAAGCCATGTTAACTAGGAAGCCAGTCAGAAGGAAACAGGTCTGTCTAATTCTGAATGCTGCCAGCCAACACCAAAAGGAAACAAGACAAGACAATTTCAACTAACTGCAAAAGCCAAGAATCCTGAAATCAACTGTTCAACTGTCAACGTACCACTATCTCCTCTTCACAAGATTAGACAGACAGTCTATCCATATATCTTTTAATCTTTATTGTTGCTTGGGCTCACTTCTTATCTCTAAGCTGTGTATGTATGTTATGATATGAATTCTTTCATGTCCAGTAATTAATACTCATTCTTTTGTTAGCCCCATTAAATTGGCCTCTTTTAACATATAGATTCATTTGATCTGGAAGAAAAGCAGCACAAAGGAGCAATAATTTATAAATTAACCTATTGTGACCAACCAAGGGGGAAGATGAATAATGAAGGGGAACTAGTTCCTCCCTCCTCACTCTTCAGCTTAATGATTTGGGCTATCCATCTGGAACCATAACAAGGAAGGGTTTAGAGGGATATGGGCCAAATGCTGGCAAACAGGACTAGATTAAATGAGGATATCTGGTCGGCATGAACAAGTTGGACTGAAGGGTCTGTTTCCATGCTGTACAACTCTATGGCTCTATGACTCTATGACTCCTAGGTGGGAAGCCTCACCCAGGGTATGGTTGTAAGATGAGATACTCAAAAACACTAAAACAAGAATGATTTAGTAAGGTGGATTCTGTCACAAGCAGAGTAACGTCTTAGTGAAGCAAAGTGGTGTGATGAAGGTCAGTGATGTCGTCAACACACCACTGTGTAAACAGATGCTTTCTCTAAAGCAGACAGAAGATAAGCAGTAGCAGCAAAAAAAAACAGCAGAAGATCATGTCAGCTATTTTATCTGACCATTAAATCACTGGGAATAAATCCATATGCTGCCCAGAAGTGCCAGTCCTTATTGGGAACAACAGATTAAAGAATGTTCCCTCATTCGATCAATGCAAGAAACATCCAAAGGACAATCGTCTTGCTAACAGAAGTTGCCTCTTCCCCGCCTCCTTGACCTGTCCATCTTCCCTCAACTGACCAATCCCCATCCCAACTCCCCACCTACACTCACCTTTACTGAATGTCTTCTCTCCACCTATCTGCTCCTTTATCCACCTTCCATCATCGCCTCCCTCCCTCTCTCTATTTATTTCAGAGACACCTTCCCCTGCCCCATTTCTGAAGAAGGGTCCAGACTCGCAATGTCAGCTTTCCTGCTCCTCTGATGCTGCTTAGTCTGCTGTGTTCATCCAGCTCTACACCGTATAGTATATTATGTAACTTCTCTATTGTCAGTTGAATGGGGAAACTAAACAAAACAATTGTGAATTCCACAATAATAAATGTTTGCATTATTTGTAGTAAGATCAGGTCTACACTCAGGTGAGTGAACACTAAAAGGCTTTATTAAATATAGCTGACTATACATAACACATGATAAGAGAGGTTGTCTTTTGGAACCTTACAGACTTAGGCTCTTGTTCCATGTGATTGAATGTCATAATGACATAACTCCTTATGCACTCACACAGTAGCTGTTCATAGCGTAAAGGTTAATCAGTGTACTACTGAAAAAAGACACATTTTGTGTAAGCTTTTTATCTTGCACTCCTCAGGACAATTCACAACAATATCAATTTAAAGGGAAATCTAGAAGTTACATTGTATGGTAGGAGAATGGTGATGCTGGCAAGTGGATTCTGAATGGCAGTTATCGCTATGGAGAATATCAGATAGATGATGACTGACAGTTACCTGTAAGGATTTGTCTAAATTTTAAACCAGGCAGCTTTACTCTGATTGGAGAAGGCACTGCCCTGAGAAATAAACCAACAAATGTGACCAAATTTATTGATATAAATGCAGTGTGTGTATATGTTCTTACTGTCTATTATGTGTTAGTATATGTAGTTACAGGGGCTGTTGTGGTGCATTGGCAGTATCCCTATCTCTGGGCCAGGAGGCCTTGGTTTCGGTCCCACTTGCTCCAGATTTGTGCTATAAATTGTCGAAACAGATTGATATCTAGATGTAGTTTCAAATACATACAATACTGCGAGCTCAAAAAGACAATCTTAAAATGGCTGCAGCACAATTCCAGTTGAATTGTATTGTTAACCCTTTGGTCCACATCATCTATACAGCTCTTATCATTATCTTGCTCTCATCATTCTTGCAGAAAACACCTCTGACAATGCTTTTCTCCCCGGTATAAAAAATGCTAGGGCAACAAATAACTGCAGTTTGATTTCTTTCTGCAAGGCTTGGGCTCTATTAATGTCTGATATGAGAATCTGACTGGCGAGCTGTGAGGAAAACACCACTCCGTGCTCTCTATGGTATGTACAGTTCAATGCAGCACTGTATAGATCGGTATTGTTAATTTTTCGTAAATGTTGAAACTCTGCAGGTTTCCAGGTTACCTTCCAGAGGGAACTAACAGACTGTTGTGTGCTCTGTTTCACAGAGACTCAGCTCACTCCTGCAATTCCTGATTGTGCCCTACAAGCTGACAGATTCTCCACACCACTCACGGACTGCATGGCATCCTCGGGTAAGGCAAAGGGTGGTGGGGTATGCTTCCTGATCAACACCTCCTGGTGCTCGGATGTAGTGAACCTGGCAAGCCGTTGCTCCCCGGACCTAGAATACC